CTTCATTTGGGCTTCAAAATTCTTTTCCCCTACAAATAGCATTATACTATAATAACACAGTCATGTAAAACTCAGTTACCTGACAAATTTACCTATCCAGACCATAGCCAGGAATCTAGCAATATGGTGTGAAAGCTGAAACTTATTTATTGGAAAAGCCATTAAAAAACTCATTGACTGCTTGTTTATTCTGTTTGTACATTATTCTAATTAGTTTTTTTTAATCCTTACCTGAGGATATTTTTCCATTTATCTTCAGATAGAGTGTGAGGGAGGGAGGGAGGACGAGGGAGAGAGAGAGAAAGAGAGACAGAGAGAGACAGAGACAGAGACAGAGAAACATCAATGTGAGAGAGGTTCATCAATTGGTTGCCTCCCGAACAACCCCAACCAGGGCCAGGGACTGAATCACAACCGAGGTACGTGCCCTTGACTGGAACCAAATCAGGGACTCTTTGGTCCTCTAGCCAATGCTCTAACCACTGAGCAAAAACTGCCAGGGCCTAATTAGTTTTAACAAGATGTCAAGCCTATAACATTATAAGTAGCAAATCTGAAGGGACTAGAGAAGATGTTACAGGTTGGTGAAATGAAATTTTATAGCTAACAGCAAGGTAAAAGACAAAAAAGCATTAAAAAGCAGCTTAAGATTTCAAAAACCAACCACAATGAAACTCTACTTCATATCCACAAGAATGCCTAAAATTGAAAACATTGACAATATCAGTGTAATGAAAATGCAGAGCACTGGAATCCTCATACATTGCTGGTGGGAGTATAAAATGGTACAGTCACTCTGGAAAATAGCTTGGCAGTTCCTTACATCAAATACTGACTACATAACCCAGAGGTTCCACCCCTTTGTGTTTACCCAAGGAGAATGAAAACATATGTCCCCACAAAGACTTGTATATGAGTGCTCATCAGCTTTATTTATAATAATCCAAAACTGGAAACAACCCAAATGTTCTTCAAAAGCAGAATGCATAAAAAAATTGTGGTATATCCATCCAATAAAATACTACTAACCAATAAAAAGGAATGAACTACTGATAACCACAGCAATATGGATGAGTCTCACAGACATTATGTTGAATGAAGGTAACCGCATACAAAAATCGTACAATCAAATTGTGTGATTCCATTTATACAATTCTAGAATAGGACATACATACTAAGCTATGGTGATGGAAATGTTCTCTCTTGATTTGGGTGGCAGTTACAAAGGTGTGGACATTTTTCAAAACTCTTCAAATTTTATATTTAAAATGTGTGCACTTTATTGTATGTATATTACAACTTAAATTTTCCTAAAATGCAAAAATTTACAAAGGGGAAAAATCTTTCAGAGGATCCCCCTGCTGCGGGATAAAGTCTAAATTCCCATGATCTAGATCTTATTTAATGTCTTTGGCTCATTCTTTAATATTCCTCCCCACCTCCTGCCACTTATTCTAATTTACTTGTATTTCCAAAAACTGCTATTCTCTGTCTTTCCTCTGAACCTTTAAACACAATGCTCCTTTAGCCTGTAATTATTTTTTTGTTTCCCATTCATCACGAAATCATTGACATCCTTCAGGACTCACAGAGGTAGCACCTCCTCCAAGGAGCCTTGTCCACTTTCAGTCTGTATTAGGCACTTTTCCACTTTATTCTTATGTTTCTTTCTAACACAGCATGTATTGCTCTGTAATGTAATTAGAATTTTTAAAATATATTTTTATTGATTTGAGAAAGAGAGGAAGGGAGAAGGAGAGAGAGAAAGGCAGGGAGAGGGAGAGAGAGAAAAACATTGATGAGTAAGAAACATCAGTTGGCTGCCTCCTGCACGCCCCCTACTGGGGATCAAGCCCACAACTCAGACATGTGCCCTGACTGGGAATTGAACCAGTGACCTCTCAGTGCATGGGCTAATCCTCAACCAACTGAGTCACACCAGCTAGGGCTGTAATTACGATTTTTTTAAAAAAACCTCCAAACCCTAGTGCACTAGGGTCATTTAATGTACAAATAGTCTACTACATATTCAGTAAGCCCTGGATTAAATAATGTATTGTATGTTAATTTCTATTCAAAATAGCTGAAGTAAGTTTCAGCACTCAGAGTTATCAAGAAAACTCTTTTATCCAGAATGATTTGTTCTTTTGGAGTTGCAAGTGATTGAGATTATTTTTATCTTTGTTGTTGAGAGTATTACAGATGTCCCCCCCCCACTTTTACCCATTGCCTCCCTCCACCTAGTTCGCACCCCAGACCTTCACTACCCTATTGTCTGTGTCCATTGGTTGTGCGTATATGCATATTAGTTATTTGGTTTTTCTCTTCCCTGTCCCACCCCCTTCCCTCTGAGGTTTGTCAGTCTGTCTCCTATTTGCATGTCTCTGGATCTATTTTGTTCATCAGCTTAGTTTTTCACTATATTCCATAAATAAGTGAGATCATGTAATATTTGTCTTTCTCTGACTGGCTTATTTTACTTAGCATAATAATCTCCAGGTCCCTCCATGCCATCTCAAAGGGTAAGAGATCGTTCTTCATACAGCTGCATAGTGTTCCATTGTGTACATGAACCACAGCTTTTTTATCCACTCATCTACTGATGGGCTCTTGGGCTGTTTCCAGATCTTAGCTACTGTATATAACACTGCTATCAACATAGGAGTACATATATTCTTTCTGGTTGGTGTTTCAGGATTCTTAGGACATATTCCTAGAAGTGGGATTACTGAGTCAAATGGCAGTTCCACTTTTAATTTTTTTAGGAAACTCCACACTGTTTTCCATAGTGGCTGCACCAGTCTGCATTCCCACCAGCACTGTACTAGGGTTCCCTTTTCTCAATATCCTTGCCAGTACTTGTTGTTTGATGATTTCTTGATGGCAGCCATTCTGGCAGGTGTGAGGTGATGCCTCACTGTAGTTTCAATTTGCATCTCTCTGATGATTAGTGAAACTGAGCATTTTTTCATGTGTCTCTTGGCCATTTGTATGTCTTCTTTGGAGAGGTGTCTATTCTGGTCCTCTAACTGTTTTTTAATTGGATTGTTTCTCTTCTTTTTGTTGAGATGTATGAGTACTTTACATATTTTGGAAATTAACCCCTTATCAGACATATCATTGGCAAATATGTTCTCCAAATAGTAGGTTCCTTTTTCATTGTGATGCTGGTTTGTTTTACTGTGCAGAAGCTTTTTAGTTTGATGTAGATTTTAAATAGCAGTTTGGGTTCATATTATCAGTAGTATAATAGCTGTTCTTTGTTATGGGTTAAGTAACTTTCCATGGGCTTTATCTGGAAACCTACCCAGACTTTATTATGTTGATTCTATGGGAAAATACATTTTACATTCCAATCAAGAGACTCAAAGATACTGTTCAGTTGAACCATGTGAAGTTGCTAATATTTAACCATTTTTGACATACAAAAATGACAGTTTCATATAGTTCAACCTAAATGTTTTTAAATTAACCTTATGACAAGTTGGAGACTACCTAACCGTTCATTTATTAATTTTATATTTAACACATGAATATGTTATGCAAGATGCTTATCTTGTACATCAAGGCTGTTGTGTATAATTGTTCTGTGTAAACAGTAAATCACAGGGTTTTGAAGAAAGTTTGTATAGAATGATAAGGCTTTCTTGAGTCCTACCCATTTTTTTTTTATTTAATGAGTGATACAGCAGACATGAGGATTCTGAAATAATTTATTAATGAATGTTAATACTAGGGTAAAAATTCAGATTAAGTTCTTCTTTTTTAACTCCCAAACTATCTAACTAGTCTATTTGGATGATTGATTTTAATAATAGTAAGGGCTAACATTTATTAAGTGCATAGTGCATGCTGGGTATTCTGCTAACCCTTTAACTACTTTATGAGCAACGTGCTATTTATTATCCTTATTTACAGATGAGGAAATTAAAGTTCAAGTAACTTGCCCAAGGTTCCACAGCTATAAATGGCAAACTCAGATTAGAATCACTCTCATTCCTACTACTCTGTCCACTTTTTACCTCCAGCATATTTTTTAACTACAAAGAGGCACTAATGTTGAAAGATTATGATTCATTTCAGCAAGTACATATTTATGCTGTGATTATCATTAGCAAAACCAGGCCCATTCACATATGAAACATATCGTATTATTATAAGAGATCATCATAAGACAGTAGAGGATCAAGTACCAAAATGAGTCTTATAGACCCAAGTGCTGTAGGAGTTCTGTAGGAGTCTAGGAAAGGGTGAGAATATGTGTACACTTTGTCATGATTAACTCCCAGAAGAATGTTGACATCAGTGGCATCTTCCAATCATAATTGGATGCAGAGCATTCTGGGAACAAACCACAATGTAGTATAAATAGGGATATGGAAAGATCGTGGATGTATAATAATGAAGTCCAAGAGGAAGTTGCAAACACAAGTCTAATTCTGGGCAGACATCAGTAATATGTGAGGGAAGTTAGAAATCCATGACTGAGCTTTCTGAATCCCAGAAATATATGGAGAAATGGGACTCTAAGGATTAGTCATTAGACATTGAGGGCATAAGAGAGGGGATTCAGAGCTTAGCCAAAATTTCATGCCTACATGACTGAAATTAAATGGTAACAAGAAGAAAAGGATTTGTACAGTGGAGGGGAAAATGGGCTCATGCTTTCAACATACTGAATTTAAGATGAGCTCGGCCAATGTGGCTCAGTGGTTGAGCATTGACCCTGCACCAGGAAGTCACCGGTTTGATTCCGGTCAGAGCACGTGCCCAGGTTGTGGGCCCGATCCCCAGTGGGGGGTGTGCAGGAGGCGGCGAATCGATGTTCTTTCTCATTGATGTTTCTGTTTCTCTCTCCTTGTCTCTTCCTCTCTCTCTAAAAATCAATAAAGGTAAAAATAAAAAAGATGAAGGTAGACTGTCTACAGAAAACTAGTTTTTTATATCAGTTATGGTGGACTGAGGTCAACCTTTTATTCATCTACTTGTTATTTTTACAGATGGCCCTTCTGAATTTTTTCTTCCCGGAAGAAAAGTCATACTCTGAAACAGAAAGTAGGCGTGTTCGTCGCAACAAAAGAAGCAAAAGCAACGAAGGAGCAGATGGTGAGTCTACTTGGGTGATCCTTTATCAGATCTCAGTTAATGCGAGTACCCTTCTGAGAACTAGCTTCTCAAATGTGCTTCACCATCTGATGGATTGTCCACAGACCCATGGTCACAGGAGAAGTATTTTTCAGCCTAGCCTACCTATCAGTCATTTGACAGAATTGACCACACAGAATCGTCTCTCCTGCAACCCCAGATAGCTTCAATCCTTTTCACAGTGCATCTGAGAGCCATAGTAACATTTGTATCTCTCAAGACCACCCTCCATAAGGACCTCATCTTTCCTGGGGACATCTCATATCTTCTAAGGCCACCAAGAGGAGTCATTGCTATTGGAATTGACAGTGTTTGTGCCATGAGGGCACTTACACGATGTTAATTCCAATGATAATTATGTCAGTGTTGATATCAGCTACCATGCTCAAATATGAACTAGAGCTTCTAGAACTTGTTTGTAAGTTCCTTGAGGGCGGGAATTTATTTCTCTTTACATAACTCCAGAATCTAAACTAGTATCTATTGGTGTTTATAATGTAAGTTGGTGGTGTTTATTGCCCCTTCAGCTAGGTTACGATGTGCCATGAAAACTATCCCTATTGAGGGTAAGATAGATTTGAGTTAACTAGCAATGCATTTTATGGGGCATAACAAAATGTTGAGCTAGCTCCTGGGCAGGGTCTTTGAATCACCATGTCTCAATATTACTCTCCCAGTTGACGGAACACTGCCTCTTTAGCACAGCAGTTTGTAGAATGCATGGCTCTGGGCTGCTGCAAAGCCATCTGGATTCAGAGACAACATGTGCTGGCTACCTCTGCCAAAGATATATGTCTGGGGGTTACAAAGCACGATGACTTTATAAAGATGAAAATGAGATTTTTAAGCTGATATTTGTCAATGTGAGTAAGGGCCAATGATGGAGGCAGTTCCAGGAAGCATGTGCTACTAAAGAAATGAGGGCAGGACTTTGTCAGTAGGGGCCAGAAGAAATACAACTGCATGAAGTCTGAAAAATAGCTCAGAACAAAGACCTTATAATTAAAAAAGAGAGAGAAATAAGGTAAGTGGGGTGTTCTAGTCAATGGAGGTAGCAGCAGCTTTGAGACTTTGAATGGAGAACTGGACCAGTGGGGTCATTCTCTAGAGCAAACACTTTGCATGCAAGTTTAAGCCTAGGAAATGTGGTCCATGAAGTAAAAGGCACCTGTTATTTGCTTGCAACTAGTTTCCTGGAAGTCTTCAGAAGGCTGTGTGGAAGCTGAGAAATAACAGTCATGGTCCTTTTCCTTTCCCAGTTACCTCACCCTTTGATTCATGTATGTCTTTCCACATTTGACTCTCCCCCGAGGCTGTTCCCAATACCACTAAATCTTTCATATTCTCTAATTTCTAAGGAGGAGGGGAGAGAGATGGTAAGACCAATACAACCTCATGTAGTGGGCGTTGTCTCCCTTTCCTATCCAAGTGGGAAGTCGGATTGTTTCTAAAGTTGATCGAAAGCAGCTTCTTCCAGGCTGGTGTGCCTCAGGGGTTGAGCACTGACCTATGCACCAGGAGGTCCCCAGTTTGATTCCTGGTCAGGGAACATGCCTGGGTTGCAGGGTTGATCCCTAGTAGGGGGCCTGCAGGAGGCAGCTGATTGACGTTTTTCTCTCTCTCCCCTTTTTCTTCCTCTCTCTGAAATCAATAAAGACATATTTTTTAAAAAGAAAGAAAGCAGCTTCTTCCACTTTCCTAAACCACTTTATCTGGATCTGGCCACCAGCATCTTTGCTTCTGATCTTTCTTAGAGTGGATGTTCTGTTTTGATACAAACTAGTTTTTCTCTGGTGAAATCCAAAGCCTCTTACTAGCACTTCTTATGTAATTTCCCCCTGGTCTGATACTCTAGTCAGTCACTAGACTCAAATCACTTTGTGCCAACCACAGATATTTTTTGTTCAACAGTAAAGCTGGGAGGAATCCAAGAGCCCCTTATAGTTAGGAGTATGGAATGTTGGTGAGTCCTGGGATTTTATTATATTTCCAGCCTTTCATCTGGGAGGCTATAAACCATTTCTTTAGATGTGGTGGGTTCTCCAGTGAGTTAAAGGGCGACGAGCCATTCTAAATCTCCTTTAGTTGGAAACCATACCTGTCACTCTCTCAAGTGTATGCTATAATTATTCAAAGCATTTATCAAATATTTACTGAGAAAATACTTGTATAATACTAGAATAGAAATGCCATAAGGATATTAGTATTGGTCTGCTTTGTTTACTTTTATATTCCCTTTGCCTAGAAAAGGACCTGGTACATAGTAGACCCCCAACAAATACTTATAATTGCCCTCAAAGACCTTAACTTCCAGTGTAAAGAGACAGGCAATAAATAATATTGGTGGTAAGTGTAATGGAGAATATATAGCAGGAGAAGAGGGAGAGAAAGTGATTGGGTGTGTTATAATGTGGCCATGGGAAGGTCCCTCTAATAAAGGAACAATTGAGAAGAAACCTGAATAAAATGAAGGTGTGAGCCATGCACATATTTAGGGGTTGACAGAGGAGGAGAGAAGAAATAATAAAAATAAATGTTCTGAAGCATAAGAATGCTTGGCATGTTCTAGAAAGAACAGTGTGGCTAGGAGCAGAGGGAGCAGGAAGGAGAGGGAAGGAGATGAGATCAGAGAGGGAAGTTCAATCTAGAACCTTGTAGGTCAATGTAAGGACTCCAAGTTTTGTGCTGTCTGAGACTGGGAACCATTGGAAGAGTTTGAGCAGAGGGATGACAGGGTCTGACTTATGTTTTAACAGACTCCCTCTGGCTGTTATATTGAAAATAGCTGCAGGGAGAAGGCAAAAGGAAGACCTGTTAGGAAGTATAACAATAACTTAGGCAAGTGATAATGGTTTATACCAGGATGAAGGCCTTATGGGTGGTAAATGGTCAGATTCTGGAGAGATTTTGAAGGAATAGCTGACAGGAATTTTTAGTTTGATTAGATAAGGGTTATGAGAGACAGAGGAGAGCCAAGAAGAACCCCAAAGTTTTGGATATAAGAGAATTGCCATTTCTGAGATGGGGAACAATAGGGAAAGAACAGAGTAAAGGGATATAGAGAAGGAATCAAGAATTCAGATTGGCATGCTAAGTTTGAGGGACATGACTGGACAACCAAGTATATATATATTAAAGAGGCAGACAGATATATAAGTCTGCACTATATATCACTATGTCTCAAGACAATGAGCTGACTCTGTTCTATAAAAGGAAAGAACTTCTCATTGAAGGAGTGAGACAATCTAGAAACCATCTGAATACAGTAAGAGGTTAGAATGGGAGAGGTAGATCAGAGGAGGGTGAGTTAAGGCCAAAAATAAAAACAAATGTGTTGATTCTAAATTCACAACTTACTTGATATATTTATTAAAAAATGTAGTTATCCAGCTCAGGTTTGCTTCCCAAGGGTCAAAGAAAATGTAATTTACCTTGAACATTTAATAACAAGACAGAGATCTCAGGAAGAAAACATTTTTTTAAGGTCAATAATGGAGATGAGGTTAAAAACAGAGCAGGAACTATCAGTTCTACCTCCTTGATTTCACTTCAGTTTCCCCAAAGTTTTTGTTATTTAACAAGCCTTCTAGGCACTGCCTGAAGAAGTGTAAAAATGAATAAGGCCCTCAGAGAAGCTTAATGAGGGATTCCATACATTGATAGGGAACACATACAAAATGAAGCAAAGGTGCCCGGCTGGTGTGGCTCAGTGGTTGAGCATCAACCCATGGACAAAGAGGTCACCAAATCAATTCCCAGTCAGGGCACATGCCCAGGTTGTGGGCCCAACCCCCAGTGGGGGGCATGCAGGAGGCTGCCCATCGGTGTTCTCTCTCTTCGATATCTCTATCGCTCTCTCCTTCTCCCTCCCCTCTCTCTAAAAATCAATAAAGGAAAAAAATGAAGCAAAGGTAAGTTGGAGGAAGTGGATCCTAGCGTTTTACCTTACACGGCACCAGTACATAGAAAACACTCAAACATTTGTAAAATGAATGAACAAAAAAATGGGGAAGGAGAATCTAGATTTTCTATCTAGTAACTATGGATATTTATTTTGATGATCTTCACTAATCCCTGTGTGAGAAGTTTTTTTCAAAAAATGGTTCATTCACACTGAGGAAGAAAGGGATGTCGTGATATAGTAATGATCTTTGGGAGCATGCATTGGTTCACCAAGAATAAATCAGGCTACAGAAGCCTATTTTTCTGTTTTCGTCACACTACTGAACTAGTTGATTGAGGCATAACATAGGCATAGTCTATTTTGCCTTTAAAATGTCAGTGGCTAGCCCAGCCGGTGTCGCTTGGTTGAGCACTGTCCCATGCACCAGGAGGTTGCTGGTTTGATTCCCAGTCAGGGCCCCATGCCCAGTAGGGGGCATGCAGGAGGCAGTTGATTGATGTTTCTCTCTCATTGATTTTCCTATCTCTCTCTCTCTCTCTCTCCCTTCCTCTATCAGTAAAATAAAGAAAAACATATTTTTTAAAATGTCAATGGCTATAGCCAGAGCATATCCAATCTTTCTAACCCACGATTCAAGAAACAATTATATTCATCTTGGTTTCTTCATTTGGATGACTCTATAAATGAAGGTTTTAACTAGGAAGCAGGAGTCCCAAACAGAATTAGTTCCCCTCCAATATAAATCTTGGCAATCTATAACTTCAACTCTTAGAAAATAAGTGAAGTCTTTTTCTTTACTACATCTTCACCTTAAATTCACTGTTCCTGTTTTGAGTTGGCCAAAAGGCTTTGATACAGGTTTTAAGTTCATTTCGCTAATTATATGTTAATTATATAGCTGTTGTTGTTCTGCAAGGAAAGCATGATCCCTCCATTGTAGGTGCTGTGAGTCACAACAGTTCCGGAAATCTGTGCCAGGATTTCCTGCTGAGACCCATCCTTGTGATAGGCTTCTGAAATAATAACAGCTCTAGGTGGCTTGCTTGGTCATCTCTTG